TGGGTCGGGGGCGAGCGTGAGTCGTGGGCGAGCATGAGTCGTGGGCGATCGTGAGTCGTGGGCGATCGTGAGTCGTGGTCGAACGTGAGTCGTGGGCAAGCACGAGTAGTGGGTAAGCGTGGGTCGTGGGCGTGCGTGGGTCGTAGCTGAAGACGGATGGTGCGTGAGCGTGGGCATGGCGCCGCGTGGTTGCAGGCCTCGCGTTCGTACTCTCGCCGCCGCGGCCGGCGAACGCTCAAGGGCCCGTTGCGCGCGCTGCGCCTCTGCCTGCTGGCCGTCCTCCTGCCGGGCCTCCTGGTGGCCGGGCCGCTGTACCTGCGCTTCCACATCTACGCAGACCAGGTGTACCCGCTCGCCATGTCCGACATGCGCCTTCTGGACGGCCGCGTCTCCACCACGTGGTGTCAGGTACGTACTCCAACAGGCCTTGTATTGTAAAAGGATGTTCCAACGGGTGCTGCAGTATCTACTCAGAGCAGCCGATGTTTTGGAAAATTGTGACAAAATGTTTGCTTATTTTTTACTTTTTCAAATGTTAGGAACCTTTTGAAAATTAGACCACTTGTTATGTTGATGTTAGACACGGGCGGAGATGAATATAGAATTTGTTTCTGCTCCAAGGATTGTCATCAGATTCATTCGCAATATTTACACGGGTTGATACAATTTTTAAATTTTACAATTTACAATTGCCATTTAGTTATCTATTCATCATCGTCATCCTCGTATATTTGTGTTTGTACGAAGTTTTGCACCCACTCTACGCTTTCTATTTGCAGATGATCTCAACAAATTATAAAAAATGAGAAAATTAAAGAGCAGGTTCTGTCAATTAAAGAAAAAATTCCATTAGTGGAACATGACAAGAAGCCAAAGATCTGAAAGTATCGTTTCAATTTTTTTCAAGGACTCTATTGCGGTGGCATTTAAAATATACAAGGTATTTTTATATTCGTATTCGTCTGAAATGTTAAATTTACATTCCTGACTTCTGTATGTAAAATTATTCACGACTCCCACTGTCCTCGATTTCGAATTACTCGATGGGTTAATTGTGAGGTGGAATTTAAGTGAACTTTGACTTATCTTTGATATACCAGAAAGTGTTTTAAATTTTGTTAAAATGTGTGCTGGAACGAATTTACACGTGATATGCACTCTAGTAAAAATAATTTACATTACCAGGCAAGAAAGTGGTTTCCATGACTAGACGGGAAACTTCCCGATCGAAATCGATAGGTTGAGTCTAGGAATCACGATGGGTCATGGACAGTCATTTTTGCCGTGTGTGTACAATATTTTATTTGAGATTTTAATTTTATGACAAATAACCCGTGTGATATAAAAATGTAATTGACAATCCGAGAATGTATTTTGTGTTTTAATTTTTGTACTTTCTATATTAGGACGGAAAGTACTTTCGGTTCGTTTACATGCTGGTGTTGAAAAATATTGAAATTTTATGCCTGAATAATATGTGAGTAAGCGTCACTTTTTAGGCAATATCACGTAAAATATTAATTTACATTCTTCTCCATCAGGAATAACGCAAAAGAAGTCTTAATGACGGCGCGATGCACCGTTCCTTTAAAAGCGAACTGAACATCACTCAAAAAAGATTTAAAATTTTTAAGAGAATACACCCAAGTATGTAATATTCTTAATCACCCGCTCGGAACCTGCTTGTATTTTTCCTTATACGACCGGAGCAAAATCTGTCCATGGTCATTCAGATTCACGTTCACCTTGGCATTCGTCCTACGAGCAGGTCCAGCGTTGAAAATAAATGTATCGTAAATACTGAGATCGAAGAGCCCTCTCTAGGTATCTATCCATTGGTAAATTCCATCGACACCATTTTTCGTATCCTTGTTTACACAAGTACGTCCTATGGAAAAAATGCCCTCCATGATGAGTGTTTTATCACTCTTTGAAGTACTGGGGCAAGGTGAGGATTTTACGTCCTTAAGCCACAGCGATAGTCACATCCAAACAGGAAACGTGGGTAGCGTTTTATAAAACAAAAATAAAACAACGATGAAAAAAATAAAATTAGTTATCACGAATTTGTGTCTTTTAGTGAGTATTGGATTTTGGAAATATTGCGGGCCTTGCACATGTGTTGTTTTTTATACATTTAGACCCTCTTGTGATAATTTGTGTTGACTCTCTTCGTATTTTTGCTTTGTCTTTGGATTTGTCATTTTAAGTTTTGACATTTTCTGTTTTACGTCAATTCTGAACCCAAAATGACATTGAAAATATTATTTAATCAGATATCTCTCCATTTTAATGAACATGATTTGATAAAGTAAAAGTTACTCTTTTACTTTAAAAAATAAAAAATCCACAATATTTAAACAAAAAATTCTACAAAAGACTGATGTAAAACATACCATTTCTTAGATATTACTAATTAACAAACAAAATTGCGAAAAGATTTTCAAAATATTTATCACCACGATAGGTGACAAACGGGTCCAAAAACACGTTCAAAGCATCTGTCGTTTTTGCAGTCCCATGATCAAAGCAACACCGCGTAAACTGGGACACTGGTTCGATTCTCGGTGCGTATTTATTTGGTTCTGGGAATAATTTACATTTTTTAAAAAATTTGAAATTGGAATAACTTTTTTTAGAAATATTTTATTACGGAAGAATATTTTAAACCATCAATATTTTCTTTTGTTTTTAAATTATAGGCATGAAGGCATTTAAAAAAATGAAATGTATAAAACGCTTTTCGTTTTTTAGGAAGGATTAAAGGGGCTACGAATTTGAAACCCAGTTGAAAATGTTATATTTACGAACAGAACCATTGTTCAAAAAACCTTACTTTAGGCATAGGGCAGTTTTTACAACCTTATTCAGCTAGGCCCTTTGAAAGTAACTATCTAACAAAAAAAAGAGAGATTGATGAGAAAAAATAAAAGCATTAAAAAAGTAATTTCCAAGAACACGTCATTATTTATATAATAGCCTTCGGAATGCTGTAGATCAAAATAACCTTTTTGACTCAATTTAGAAATCAGAATCTGGAAAACCGACACCGAGTATTGAAGTTATTATGAATTATTCCAACTTTTATTCTGATAGATCGACGCAAATCAATACGGATGAATGTGTAACTTCCGTCAATGTAGAAAATACCTACGAAGCCAATTTTAATTCGTGGGCTTCAACAACATTCAAATTGTGGTAGTTAATGTGGGTGAGAATGGGTGACGCCATTGCACTGCAGATAATTCTGTCCCTGATCTCGTGTTCCGCCCGTAGAGGCAAGTGGTGCGCGCCAACGCCACCTTCAACGCCTTCCTGCTGCCCGAGCAACCGCAAGTGGCCCCCGAGAAGAAATCCGTGTCCATGGTGCGCGACCTCCTGCTGGAGGACGACATGAAGGAGTACTGGGCCTTCTACCTGCTGCGGGGCTCCTCCATCACGGTGTCCGCGTGCGTCAACCACCCGGGCGCGTCGCTGGTGGTCATCCGCGGCCACAAGCACCTGCACGACTGCGCCTACATCGGCGACAACTCCTCCGAGGAGCTGGACGAGGTGGCGGAGGCCGAGGCGCGGGCGGCGGAGGAGGCGCAGGAGGCGGCGGCGGCGGCGCAGGCGAGGGCCCCGGGTGGGCGGCGGTCGGGCGCCGACGCCGCGCGCAGCGCCGAGGACGACAGCCAGCCCGCGGTGCGGCGCCGCGTGCGCCCGGAAGTGAAGCTCCTGGGCGCGCACCCGCCGCTGGACTCGAAGGAGTTGCTGGCGCACCCGCACCCGCACGAGCCGGACCCCGAGGACGGCGCGCTGCGGCACATTCTCAACAAGGTGAGGCGAGAGGCGGCGCGGTGGGCAGTGGACCGGAACATCAAAAGCGAGGGGCGTGGACTTGGTTAATATCGCCCATCCAATGACGTAACTGTAGAAAATGGAATTTTACAGGAGAAGCAGAATTCGGAAATAAAATACTTTGAATCATAATATGCCCACATTAATAGTCATGGTGCCTTGTGCCTTCGTCAAATGTTACTTCTTACCAGTATCGTGTTAAGTAAAACACGTAATAGAATTTATCGGTATTAACATTTGAATTTATTCCCCTTCTTACAATTGTGTCATTGTTGCCGTGAATTGTACATGCCTTTTCTCAAAATTCGATCAATCATATAAACAATGTTACAAAGAACAATTGAGAGATAATAGTATTCGATTGAATATTTAGCCAAAATGACGCACTTATATATTTACGGCGTTATTCCGTTCTGCCTGCTCTTCGTTTCACAGAATAGCATAGCAGACACTTGTGACAATGTTGTACCAAAAACGGGAACGTTTCTTGTACTAAAGCCACAGAATTAACTGATTCGTTATTATTCTTCTCAAATGAGGTTACAATCACGTGGCAACAACCACACGCCTTTAGAATAATATATCAATCCAGTCGATATTTCTGCAGATGTATTGTTTTTGCAATTGTTCTTACCTATTTACTTTCTCTTGCACAATTTAGCAGTTACGTCATTGTTCCATTGGATGAGCAATATGAAGTTTTTGAACCATTCTCTTAAGTTCTTTAAGTTTTAATGGTCCGAATGTCACTACCAACCATTTTTCCATTTTCCACAGAAAATTAAGTAGTACATTAACAAAAGTTTTATTGATTTTTGCCGCGTTTCATAAAATAAATTTCATAACGAATTACAATACTTCACTAATGGACTTACGGTTTTCTCTATATCATATATGTAGCTTCTACCCACATTAACGGCGACCCAGTATTCTTTGGCTGTTTTGGACATCAACATATCAATGATCCATCCATTTTCCAGCAAATTGTCGCAATAGAGAATGGTTTTCTTTTGTTATTTATACTTAACAGGTCCATTTTGTAAATTGTTCATTCTTTCACGCTTGTTTTTCGAAAATTCGCTGATTTCTGGCCATTAGGTATATCATATCATATCTCTACGCATGCCTTTCCCCTGTTTGCGTCCGTTCGTGTGTAGCGCACGCCTTGCGGTTCGCGCGCCGCTGAGAGCGGAAGGTGCTGCCAGCGCCAGGCGGCACGAGCTCGCACTCGTTTTAGAGGTGCTCCTGCGGGTCGACATTGCCGACGCATTGTCGGCTTGCGATTGGGAGGGCTTCAGAGAAGCTGGCTGAAAGAGAGGTTAACGATGTCAAAACCCAGAACGGAATGTGAACATTGAATCTCAGAGATAGAGCCAATAGACAAATGATGTGATCACGCAGTGGTCGTGTTTAGCGCCCGGAGGATCATTGCATAAGTTATAAGTGCCTAGAAACCGAATTGAATCATGGATGGAAGAAGAACTTCGGTGTATATCTTATTCTGAGTTTTGATCCATTTGAAATAAATTTCTGCTGTCGAATGGGAATCGATAAGGACAGCTAAAACTTTATCGTAAAAGATGCCATTAGTGTCTACACCTGAACGCTTACAGAACTTTCAGGATTTTACTCATTGTTCCGTAAAATACATAATAATAGTTTTAGATATCGCAGGAAGGTAAAAAATATTAAGTAATTTTCTTCTGCACATTGGGAGTTCTATTGCTCTAGAACGGAGAACGGTTGCGGGAACCACGTCAGCAAGCGATAAAGCGACCTTCGCGGTTCTTTGTTCTGCTAAGGACGCAAGCACACAGATGACAGTAAATATTATGTGAGAAGTTGATCGTAAGATACTGCAATTTTATCCATTCGTGAGGCATAAATTGTCACATAGCACAGAGACAGCGATATTTTTGCAATATATTACCGACATTGACGTACCCAAGGGGTAGGGAGCTTTTGGGATACTCACAAATATTGATTTTACTAATTTTCTATACAAAAGAAAATAAATTAACACAGATTAAAAGTAAACATTAATTTTAAATTCAGCATAAAATAATAATTAAGTTGTCACGGGTCACGGGCACATTTTCTGCGTCAATCATTAGAGTGCATGCTCATACCATTCACTTCATGATCATTCCTATTACTATTCATTAGTAGTCATTTAATCCTGAGAAGAACGTCAGTCTACAAGAATGATCCTTTAACAATATGAACTGCAGACCTGGGTTCATTCTTTGAGAACAATACGTTTTAGAACAATTTTCCCTCCTTGTACTTCTTTGTAGCTTTCATCAAATATACTTTCTACCATATATAAATAAAAAAGTAAATTAATCTGAAGAGACCGTAAGAAACAACAGGGTGGTGGTGTAATTTACAGTGGTTAACGAACGCCGTAGAGCCATATTATTTATTGGTAACTCGACAAGAAATACAGGCCCAGATACCCATGCCTGACAGGCAACCCCGACGCCAAGGGCCATGTGCTTGTGGGGGCTTCCCACCGCTGAAGGTTCTTTCTCGCCACGCAGGTGGCGCAGAAGCGGGCTGGCGTCGGCCGGCGGCGCGGCGGGGGCAGCACGGAGCTCTACAAGGTGGACGGAGCCGGTGACTCCCGCGCCTCGGCTACGCCCTCGGCCACGGCCTCGCCCGCCCCGCCGCCGCGTCGGCCGCCCCCAGCGCCCGCGCCCAGCCTCGCAGCCGGCGCCGCGCCCTCGTCCAGCGAGGTGTTCGAAGAAGTGCTGCGAAAGCTGCGCGCGCTGGGCCACCGCGGCAACGCCGTGCTGCGCAGGCTCAACCACCAGCTGGAGCGCACGTCCGTCGCCAGCGAGGCCGCGGCCGCCGCCACCGCCGCCACGGCGCACGCGCCGCCCTCGCCGCCTCCCGCGACCGCTGGGCCCGTCCCCTCCGCCCTCACCCCCGCCCCCGCGGACTCCGCCTCCGACGAGGACTCGTCGCCGGAGGCCGACACGCTGACGGACGCGCTGGGCGAGCCGGGCGCCATGGACGCCCTCCGGGAGCTGGTGCGCCGCTTGCTCAAGGAGCACGCGGACGAGACGGCGACGCAGGCGGCGCAGGCGGCAGGCGGACGCCGCCGCCGCGCCAGCCCCTCCCCGCACCAGCAGCACCAGCAGCACCAGCCGCACCCACCCGACGCGCCGCACAAGCGCCGCTCCGCGCACTCCCCCGAGGCGCGCCTGGCCGCGCAGCGCTGGAGCGCCGACGACGAGAAGGACAACGTGGCGCTCGAGATGGTGAGTGGCGCTTCCCGCTTTCTTCTTCTCTCTTCTCGCTTTTTACTCTCGTTTAACACGATGGTCAGGCAGCTATTTGGACTTTTACAATATTTACTTTTGTGCACAAAAAACAACAACAAGAAACAATGGATACCGTGAGCGTTTTCTATGAATTTATATTAAATGAACAGCGAAATTATTTTCTAAATTACTCCACTAACTGTAGCGTCTATTGACATGAAAAAAATAATGACACAAAAGTCGAAAACGGCCAGTTGCGATGCCGTAACCAAAAATAGATTCATATCTAGAAATAGAAGATACCTATATCTCTGTGATTAAGCTGCCGACTCGTGAAAACTAAATTTTACTTACTTTACCTTGCCACTTACTTTGAACCTATAATCTAGCGAGAGTAAACAGACAACTTTACTTATTTAATGTTAATCACTGGTCTCAACATCAGATCATCAACTCAATAGACAATGATATTTATTTATCTCGTTAGGGTTAATGGTTTTATGGAATACGCACCGCCCATTAGCAACATACGGAATTTAACTTATAGCAGATAATACACAAATATAGGGAATTATATCAGAATCCAGAAGCACACTTAACTGATTTTCAGCACAAACTTGGCATATCACCGTATTCTACGCATTTCGTTTCTAGTGTAGTAAAGCTAAATATCTAAGAAATTCAAGCAAGTATTTTTGTTTGTTTATGTTTCACTCTAATTTCAAAAGTGATTTATATTTTACTATATAAAATTGTAATATATGTCACTAATTATTGAACCTTAATGTACTATCGTGAAGCGCAACTTGTCGTTAGGTGAATTCATTATCTTATAAGAAGATAGATTAACTACTCCTCACAAACTGATCTCCTGGCTGTGGAGACGGATGTACTTCAATATTACAAGATCCTCCTCAAAGAGCCATAAAATGATACCACAGTTTTCACGTAACTAGTTGTTTAACAGTAATTTCAAACGTTCATGTAACGTGTAATACTTTTTGAAGGGTTGGGAGATGAATTAGCACTGAATGTGGAAGGACTAGAAAGAATGTTGGTGAAAAAGATTTTAAGAATAAGATTGCTTGGCAATAGGGCAATTTGACCATTAATTATATGAGTTAGAGAAGAGAAAAAAATAAACCCATTTCTGCTAAGAATTCAATTGTTATACAAATTTTAAAAATCGAATGAAAGAGTAGGAAGAAAAAGATAAGAGAAAGATAATCAGAATGTACTTGGTCGCCAGCAAAGGTACGCGATCTAGAAACATGGACGCGAATATTAGTAGACAGAGAAGGGGTTGCAACGTGTAGAATACTAGTACGTTATTGTGGGGAAATAATTAAATCAGAGTAAAAGGTTTTGATTCATTTTGGTTCAAACTTGCAAATTTATTGTCTGGAAAACGCATTCTGGAATATCTCTTTTTTATTTAAACATATTACTCTAAGACATAAATATTATCTGTTGAATATTGTATTAGAGGCGACATTAAATATCCTTGATCGGTTAAAAGATTTTGAAAGAGATAAGCCGAAATTCAGTTATCAGAACGTTTCCAAGAAGCAGAAGTAGGTCACAGCGAAAAAAATAGCCTTCGAAAGGAAACTTCTTAGACAATCGATATTATATTACGAAGACACACTCATTTGTATGGGAAAGGGTCCTTAAGTATCTTATGGCCATGATTCGATAAGTTATTGTCGGCGTTTAAAAATTGAGAAAATAGCCATTCACGTCAAAGCAGACAAATTACAACTCCTAAAGCTGGTCACTGATAAATAAAGGAATACAATAAATGTTTTCTAACACAATTAGAATGGCTTGTTCTCAAATACCTGAGTGAAACTTCTGTCTCATAGTTATGTTCTATTATCAATATTTCTACTGCACATTTCTTATTTTTTGAGTAAGACATTCCTAACCTGTAGTATGGACAGTTATCAGATTTCGCCAATTATTTGCTCTGTGATCGGAAGAATTAATGTCATTACAATATAACGTCTTTGGATACCAAACATCGGCGCAATAAAAATATAATTTTACCACAAATTTTGTTTATTGATGCTTCACACACATTGTGATTTTAAAAAAACTTGGAATTTTTAGTGAGAGTAATATTCACCCGCGAAAAAAAAGTACCGGTAACGTTATTTTTAGAATGTTTTTTATTTGAAGGATTGTGCATATGGGTCGTTTTGGAGACATTATTTATTGAAATCTTGTTACTATGAACTTAAATATATTTTCGGACACAACGACATAACTCCCCCTTAACGTGTCCAATTTTATGCATCAGAAAGCACCACTCACACTGTCAAATCTTAATATTATATGTCTGAAAATAACATTTGCAACCAAAGAACACATCACAATAGGTGAATGAATGGCTGAATGACGATTAGAAGACCAAGTTAATCATTTTCAGGAATTGTCTTAAAATATTTTCTTTGAAAAATGTCCTATATCGTGACTCTGAAAACTAATTATACGGAAAACAGCGAATTAGGTGAGAAGATAAAGTTCTCCAGAACTTAAAACATTCAGACTTAAAAATATAATACAAGAGACTAAAAAGTATGTGGAAAAGTACTGGAGTACGCTGAGAGCCATCGGGAGATATACAAGTACATCGACTGTAGATGGAGGAGAAGAAGCAAATAAATTGTATTATACGATCACACACATCATAACAGCAGTGACTTCATTACTGAAAGCAAAATTGCCATTGGGATAGGAATTTACAAAAAAACTGTCATAACTCATCTCCCGCCCAATCACACTCGAAGGTTGCATTTTGACATCATCCAGCTGGGCCCGTATTCGCTGAATAGCTTTTCCACTCGGGCAGTGCAGGAAATCTGTCATCTTTGCGCACGAAATTTCATTTATTTCTTGAATGTTATGGCAGGAGCTTTCTCGTGAGCTTATGATGCGTTCCAACTCAGAAAGAGCTTTTTCGTCAGTGTGGAGAAGAGCTCTCACAGGGTTTGACACTGCAAGGAGGAAAGTAAGGACAACGAACCCCCTCATTCCGAAATAGCCATTCAAGGAGTTTCCTAGTAAATAGAAAAACATTCAGTTGAATTATGGATTACAATTATGGATATTAATTATCTAGAAAACGCTAGTTTTGTCCCATTGTTTAAAAATAGATAGCCTTCATCTTGCCCGTTTAATTTCCTTCTCGAAATAACCAAACAATTGGCCGGTATCTGCCTCTCAATGAATGTTTATTTCAACTACTCTAGCGATATCTTTGAAACTGAGAGGAAGTACTACGTTGTTAAAAAATATCATCCAATCTCGCAAATACCATACGAACCACTCGATTAATAAACTAATTTCAGATTTTTTACGAAAAATTATAAATTGATTATGTGTAAAAATTCAAAATTCCAGTGAATTTTTCCTCAGTCAAAAATCGTACCTTTGTTCATGTTTTTGGTGTATGATATTTTTCTTCAAACTATTAAATGTTAGAACATAAGTGTTCATTTTAGAATCCAAAAAATAATAGAATTACTCATTATATTACTCACGAACATTCAGGAAAATTTGAAAATTAGTCTTTTCAATGTATAATTGTTTGGAAGGCACTATGACTAGTTGGGATTTGCCAGACATGTCATCTTTGGAAAACCTGTGTGTAATCAGATAGTGGCGTAACGTTCGGGCTCGCAAGGCCCTCAATGCGGGCGGGCCCGGGTAAAAGAGGCCCGTTTTAGGTGATATTTTTATTATTTAAGGTACTAACATTACTTGTGTTAGCTTTACTCTTTTGTAAAGGGGCCAGGATAAATGTTTTGCTGCCGGGCCCGCACTTATTTCGTTACGCTACTGGACAGAACCATCCCCCAAACAAAGGTAAAACTACCTTTATGTCTGAATATCGTAGTTCATAATTTATTATTATAAATAATCCTAATAGTTGTTTGGATCCGTGTACGATTCCACATTCCACTGAATGTTAATGGCCTGAAGGTGGTCGTGTTATTCCTTCGACTTTTGAAAAATTTCACACTGTGCGCCGCTGTCCAAATATAACTTTGGTGGCACGTTCAAGAGCACCGATGCTATGCATTCCTCGAGCCTGTTGTCGGCTGCCCGACCTGCTTTGCGGTGCTCGCCGCCGCCGCCGCCGCCGCCAACACAGACGCGGAGTCAGCAACGTGGCAATGCCTTAGCGCGTGGCGATGAACCAGTTATCACGGCCCTGCTGCTGACGCCGCCTTGTTTACGCGAATGTTCCTTCCATCGCCGCAACTGCTCCCACACTCTTCTATCGCGCATTTGCCAGGTGTCGAGTTTACTAGAATGAAACGAGGACGATGTGTGGTGCGTCCAGAACGGTTTATTTCACTACCGCGACTAGTTGTAATTTTATTGTCACCTTCAATCTTGTATTTAGAACTAGCTCTAATTTTCAATCTAATTGATTTCCCTTCCGTTCGTTGATATTTATAATTTATCATCAATTCATCTTCATAAGCATCTTTAATTTGACATCTGTCAGCACCCTGTCGACACATTGGTCGTCTCGATAGTCCAGCGGTCAGAAGGACTGTACATTAATCTGGAGTCACGGTATTTAGCTCCTGGCAGGGGGTCTATTGCTATGAACAATTTTAGTCTTTACTTTCATGCCAGATTCTCGTCTGTTGCTTTTGCACTTTAGAGGCTACCACAACCGATCCTACGCCACCATCCTGGTGCGCTCTTGCGTATATCCTCGTTCCATCTCGTAATGTGTAGCAGCAACTGAGAGCCTAGAAACGACGACGCAGTTTCTAACACTGCCGCAGAGAAGCGCAGCTTCGTCTTCTGCCTCGGCCGTTAAAAGAGCGCGCGTGGAGCGGCAGGTATTTGCGATGGATTTTGCGCTGTGCAACCTGCATGCCGCGGGACGCGGGTGCGAGGCATGGCTCCAGGGAGCGTTGAACGACGCAGTTTTGTTGTGGACGATATAAGTAGAGCGAGGCGCGATGTGGAGA